AGAGTAATACATTAAACTAAAAAACATCACAAAAGATATAATTTGCTGTTTGATTTTGTTTGTTTCTTTAGAGAACTGCAATACATTTTTTCAGTCCAGCTATTCTTGTTGGTTTTACAAGCAGACATTGTATTACAGAGCAACACATTATTAAAATAAAAACACAGACTGCGATTGATTTTCTTTGAATACACAATGGATTCAGAGAAGGGGTTGAATTGAGCAAGACTCTGCTAGAAAAGGCTTTTTAGCTGTTTTAGTTTTTACATGAAAATAAGATATTTAATATCAGGTTTAATCCAGGACACAAATTTGAATCTTAAATGACACATTTCCCTGTAAAATGTGTCATTTAAGAGAAAAATGTGACATGCAAAACTAATTGCGACAGCCCTCAAATGACCTTTCGCTTTTCTGGGTATTGATTTTCCTGTCATAGCACAACTTATTGATGTCTGTACAGAAAGTAAGCAACACTCTCAATCCAGTGCAGTACATTACTCATGTTTATGCATGGCTTCGTGCTGTGGTTTTGGTCAATATATTGCAGCATATTGACAGATAGCTATAATCTTTATGGGGTAACGGAGCATAATTTTTCACTTCTTATCTTAATTATCAAATTAAGGTTGGTGAAATTATTTCACACAACATTATATTACATGGTCACATTGATGGATTGGATTTTCAGCGGGTATAGAAGCTGCAGATCAGAGTGCTGCTAAACAGCCTTTCCATGCTCAGTGTAGCCTCATTTGACCGTGTAGGAAGCGGGACCTGTTCCTCCATGCTTAGACGGCCCTTTTGTCAGTTGCTTTGACATTGTACTCTCTCCTTGCCTGACACAGCTGTTTTCATTTCAGGATAAGTGCACTCATCCAGAGGATGTGAGGCTGTGCACCATGATTGTTAAAACTAATGGGAGTTTTCCTGTCAACAAGAAGAAAGTGGTGTGTATTCAGTTTTGTTCTTTTGTTTTTATGCTTTCCCCTAAAAGTTTAATTGATGGAAAAAAAAAAGGTTTTGCCTACAGAGATTTCGAAAGATGTCACCTTGAAGTTTTCCCCATCTGCTAGAATAAATGTAATTTTAAAATTCAAAGTTAAATAAAGAAAAGTTTTATACTCACTACCCCCTATCCAAGTGAACCTTTACTAAATTTGTCTTCATTCAGATATTCATCAAAGATGTGGTCAATGAGGGAGAGGATCTGGAGCTGGATGAGCTGAATAACAGTGGAAGCAGTGTGAAGCAGAAGCAGCAGATACAAGGTGCTCTTGGAGACACTCCAGCCACGAGCCATCAGCTATTGATGCCCAACAAGGCCAGCGCTAGCCCTGTCTCGACACCCCCCACGCCTCACAAGGAGGGCCAGAAAGCAGAAAAGAACGGCGATCCTGCCAAGGAGACCTTAGGCGATCCGGCACCCATCGTAGCCAAAGCCTTCCAGACACAGGCCTTACCTAATGGCAAGACTCAGACTTCTGTGAAAACCATGAGCAAGAGAAAGATCTCCCAGCAAAAGGAAAAGAAGGCTACCCAGATGTTAGCCATCGTCCTTGGTAAGTTAGTCCCTTATTATTAGTAGTTTTTAAATTATTCATTTGATTTTTTAAAAAAGTCATAAAAGTGAATACAAGCTCAATTAAAAGCCGTTGTATGTGATTCTGCACATTAAAGTTGAAGTGACAGTGGAAATTTAAGCATTTCTAGAACCAAATGTTATCTTTGAACATGCAAAGGAGCGTGTCGCATTCACAGCACGAAACCACTGGGAAAGCTAACAAATCCGTTTTTGTTTTTATTTACCTCAAGTTATTTTTGCAATGTACATGTCTTTTTTTTCCCACTGCTCTATCATAGGTATTTGGCTGTCTTTACGTTTGTTTTTGTTTTCATTTCAATCAATTTTTTCAGTAGGACCTAAAAAAAGGGTTTGAAAAACAAGTCAGACAGTGATGCAACAAAAAGAAATTGTACTGATACTTTAGAATCCAACTCCTCAGTAGGGCCACCCATATTTGGGCTTTATTTTCTCATTCTCTGTGTCTTATTCTAATACCTAATTTTTTTTTTCTTTCCTCAGGTGTATTCATTATATGCTGGCTCCCGTTTTTCATCACACATATCTTGAACACCCACTGCACCAAATGCAAGGTTCCTGCCGAGATGTATAACGCTTTCACCTGGCTGGGCTATGTGAATAGTGCTGTAAATCCCATCATATACACCACCTTTAATGTTGAGTTCAGAAAGGCATTCATTAAGATCTTGCATTGCTGAGCTGCAACATCACTTATCTGATCAGACTGAAGGAGAGGTGATGAATGAAAGCATATCCTGTGGCAAATACCTCATCCTCTTAAGGAAAATACACCACATGGGGAAACTGCAATCTGCTCATTTAAAGTTATTTAAGTGACTGAAAGAAAAAAAAAACAAACTGGCTTTGGCTTTGTCTTCTTGAAAGGCGTCTTGGATCTAAATGTTAAATTTCGTGTGGAGTCCCGTTCTCCAAATCACTGAATGTAAAACAAGAAATGTCTGTAACGATGACCTGTTTTATGGAGAGAGAAAAAAAAATGACATTGTTCTCTGACATCATTGTGCTTGTCATGTAAGGAGCCATCTGTGTATACCACACACATGCAAACTGCTATTTATTGTATGTATTTATTGTATTGTACTTTATGTTTTAATCATAGATGTTTTCTGCAAATCTTAAAGATATCGAGTCAGTGTTCATTGCAGTGTTAAAATTGAAAACAATTCACTGATTAGATTCACTGATTGTCTGAAAGACACGGTATAATTTACTTGCTGTATGATGCGGCCACGCCAATATCTGCAATTTAGCAATTTTATAAATAAATATATATTATAATTACTAATGCTATTATTATTATTATTTGCTGTACATAGTTTTTCTTAATGCATTTATTGTGATTATATGACCGCAATAGAAATGTGATGCATGCTACACTGCTCCTCTACTTGAAATGCATGTTTAACAATAAATTGCAAAAGATCTCCAATAAATGAAGTTAAGATACCGTGTGAAGTGCCACATGAATATCACCGCTCACCGTGTGTATATGAATACACTCATAACTGACTGGTCATTATTCAAAAGCTTCTCTGTTATTCCTAGGACTGATCTGCAGTTTGAGTTGTTTACTGGAAGCAACACCAAGCTCTGCTGCAGAGGAGTTGTTCCATTAAAACTAATGACTAGTATGTGGACTTTGCAGCTTCCAAGTATAATCATGTGGATATGTGCAACCCAGCTCCTGAAGCCACTCCCTGGGGTCTTTGCTGAGCAAGAATGGGGTGAAACTGAAATAATAGCTACCGCAATACATCTATACAACTATTACAACTACAGTGTTGGAGTTGGAGTGATGATCTCATTTTATATTTACAGTATATACACACACACAGAGCTACCGGACTGACTCGCTATGTGCCACTGTTTGAATAGCCTCAGTCCTAATGAACAGGTGGGAAAAGGGAGTTCATGTCTGAAGATGAGATCAAAATGAAGCATAAACAACACTCCAGCTTATTCTCTAGTAATGAACACTGACTGAATTTACTTGTTATTACTGTGTGTTATTCTTTTCATTGTTGTTATTCATGTTTAGTTATTTAAAACACAATTTTGAGATGGTTTGATGCCTCTGTGCATCTGCTACAGATCTCATTTTTGAATATTTCTTTTTCTTTAAAGGGCACGCTGTGTTACGAGTCACTGGGAAACTAAATATTTGTGGGTGCCATGGTTTGCCACTAAACCGTGGTGTCTATGTGTGATAAACTGACAAGTGGAAATAAATATTTGAAATAAAGTTTTGTGTGTTGTGCATGGGTAAAAGAGTAAGAATACACCATGTCTGGGTCAAGAGGGGGATGACATAATTCTTTTGTTGTGGCTGTGAAATGCACTCTTTACTCTCATGAGTAGCTGACATCATTTATACTTTCGTTCAAGCTCAACATCAGTCTTCGTGATGGCCAAAGATGGTTGAGCATTGCATCATTTCAGAAAAAAAAAGAACAACAAAGGGATGAGCCAGAAACAACATATTAAAGTATTTCTACCGCTGTTAGCAATCCCCAAGTCTGACTAAGGCAACCGAATGAAAAATAGTTGCTGTTCAAGGTAATTCATCACTTGTGTTGAGTGCTGCAGTTGCAGTCTGAATACACAATGCTCTGGAAATGCAGCTTTCACCTTTTTTTGTTGTCATGTCATCTCAGAAGACTAAACCTTTCCTTGAAATATATCTGAGCAGCTACAGTGCAGAAAGCAGCGCTAGTAAAGGTGATTATTCATGCTTGATTTTATTCTGAGGAGTTGACATTTAACTGCAGATTGTGCTGGCTTTACATTAATAAACTGGGAGTTAAAATGATACCCATACACCATCTAAAGTATCTAAAATCAATATCTTAAAGAAGAGCCAGGGAAGTTAGTGTATCTTAGCCTTATCAAGGGAAACAGATGAGAGCAATTTATTACACCAGCAAAAACCAAAATTATGAAACTGAGTTGTATTTCTATAGGAGTTTGATTATTGAGACGACTGTTTCTTTCTTAGTAATTAAGATCTAAGAGCAAATAAGCATACTTCCAAAATGATAAAGGTCCCATATCATAAAATATAAAAACTGTAAAAATATGAAACCCCAGTTAAACATAACCATAATCATCGTCCCTCTCTTCTGAGGTGAGGTGAACGTGATGGGGTGGGCATGTTGCTAACGCTACACTGCTTTTTCTAGCATGCAGGCAAAATGTACTGTTGTTGAGTGCAACAGAAAACAAGAATTTTTACTGAGTCTTCATGAGAGTCCGTGTTTTGTCTTAAGTGACTAAAGCTGTCCGTTAAAAACACCACTCCGATGACAAAAAACTTAATTTAACATGCAGCTTTGTTAGCTTGCTTTGATTGGTTGATTTATGGTTTTGTGTGATTTTTTAATGTTTTTATAACTTAACACCAAAGTCACCCAAGCTGTAAGGCAAATGTTTTGTCAAAAGTTGGTTAGAAACTGTGGAAACCTTTAAAATAAATGTAAATTTAAAACCTGTAAAAAAAAAGGGCTTCTGGTGGTCAGCTTTGGTTTTTGCCTTCTGTGCTTCTCTGCAAACTAAACTCAGCTGGCTCTCTATTAATTTTGTCTTTTGCAAAGATAATGCAATTTATGTTATTATATTTCATAACTGAAGTATTCACTCAGCAGTACTTACATTTTATTCATTAGTTTATCAAACCCTACAGTCACAACAAACAGAATTAAAACTGTGATTGCTGCTCAAGAGTTTGTTACATTTTCTTGTTTCTTTTACAAAAGAGCAGAATCAGTAAGGAGGCTGTCAGTTTCAGTGAATACCTTCATTCAGCAGCTGACTTGTGAAATAGTTGGTGACACAACTTAATGGACTTGTGCAAACTACAGGGACTTGAATTTTACTTGCCCCTTGAGCAAAGCTGTTATAGAAGGGCTGTGACTTATGACATAGGCTGTGTGTGTGTGTGTGTGTGTCTGTGTGTGCATGTGTGTGAGAGAGCCTCACAAAGAAGCTATGTAAGGCTCATGAGACCCAGTCGACTGTGTATAAAGGTTTCTTCCTTTAAGTCTTCCATTGGTATTTGTTTATGGATTTTTCTGCCTTTAGCTTTTAGCTCATTCAGCCGAAGGACCATTAAGTTCATGCCTTCTGTCGAGACATCCATCTACAATTCACAAAACTACAGTAATCAAACATACACACACTAATCGCCCAATGGGTTTTCTCCCAAACATGTCTTCAAGGTCAAGATCTAAGCCATGTTTGTTTTCTTACTGCATTGAGGCAACTGTTGCCTGAAGGCACTTTATATTATAAGGTAAATGCCCTACAATAATACCCCTTATAAGCAAGTGCTTTGGTGACAGTGGGAAGGAAAAACTCCCTTTTAACAGGAAGATACCTCAGCAGAACCAGGCTCAGGGAGGGGCAACCATCTGCTGCGACTGGTTGTGGGTGAGCGATGAAGACAAGACAAAAGACAAGACATGCTGTGGAAGAGAGCCAGAGATTTATTATGGTATTGTAAGTCATTGTGATTTAACCACCACAAATTAATCCATTTCTGATTACACAGCAAATAGGGAAGCACTTTTAAATGTTCAGTTTCTATGCCACATGTCAAAACAATAGTTTGAATGTGATTAAAGTGGTGGGTGGGTTCTTTTGCATGTTTAAAGAAGCCAATTGAGTCTAATAATAGATTAAATGCTGTGTTGAGGATAACTACATGGATGTTAAAATTACACACAACTATTTTATTTAAGCTGAGCCCTAAATCAGGTAAAAAGTTTGAGAATTCCGACAGAAAAAGGCCCAGGTGGACGATAGATAACAACAAATAAAAATGGTTTTCTTTGCAAAGCATCAATTAGTGTAACTCAGGGGTCATTTAAACTAACACAATCATCCTACTGTAATTATTAATTTATTAACTAACAGGAACTTAGAGGAGAGAGACCTAATGTTTAACAATCCACATTTCACAGTTTTATTTGTTGTAGATACAATATTGTTCTTTCTTTGGAACTTTTTGTATTTAAATTATTTGAGCTGATTTTGGTTTGTTTTTTGTCAGGGAGCAGACAGAGTCTCTAAGGGTTTGAGAGGGTAACAGAGGGAGCTGCAGAGAGTGAGAGCTGCTTCATCCAAAGTGGGATGGATGCCATCTTTCTCCTAACAAGTACAGGTTTCGCCCAGAAGGTTACTTGGCTATCAATAAAGTCCACATAGTTTTTTGTTCCACCATCACCATCCACCTCTCGTATTTGAATGCACAAAACTTATTTTATTTTTTTTTAGTTTTTCAAAGTATATCAGAATCAACATCTTTTGTGTGATATTTTGTTTTGGAGACTAAGGATGGTCACTTTTGCTTACACTAAGATCCACTTTGAAGGCCCCTTGTGAGTTCTTTTGGAAGAAATACAACAGAAATATCCCACATCCCTTCATGAAACGGCTCTTAGGGAATTGTCTCTGAAAAATAGGGGTGTCATGATCAGTGTGTAAGAGTGGCTGCTCAAAGTTACAAACAAAACACAAAAATCCAAACAAAGCCATAATCTAAAGAACAAGGACATACCAGGAGATACAGAGGAAGGAGAGCAACATAGCTCGACTATTAATAAGAACTTCAGCAATCCCAGATATGTACATAATATATTTAATATGCCATGGTATTGAGAAAAAACTGACAAGTTTTAGCCTGTGGCTTTTGAAAGCCATCTGTTAAGCTACTGAGAGTACCATGACAAAGGAAAAAGGGAGGCTGTGCAAAAAAACAGACAAGTGAGAAAACTGGCTATCAGGATAAAAGAGGAACTAAACTACAACAGAGGAAAACACCTGAATGAAGACACAGAGAGATAAGAGAAAGGAAGGAATTATTAGGAAAACTCCAAATGAAAATACAAAGAACTTGCAACTGTTACAAAAGAGTATATCATATAATCAGCTTTACACAGCTCCATGAAAACTAGTCAGGAGCTACCAGCTTCTGAAGATAACAATGAAGTCATCAATCAAAACACAGGATTTAGACATTTCTCACTTGAAAAGTAAAGACAGAAATCAGACTTAACAATGCCACAATAAACCAAACTCGCATTTAGAATAATGAAGAGATCAGAACTTGAATCCAGAAATTCCAAAATTTCAAACACTAGAATAATAAAAACCAAAGTCAAATACTGTATAATTCCCTGAAAATGGTAACCTCAGATGCAGATACAGAGGAACTGCATATAAAAATGCTTGTCACTTTAAATTCATCAAATAACTGTAATCTGTTTTGGTAGCAAGCTAAAATATTAAAATAATGTCACATATATGGGACTAACCATAAACCGTTTGAACATCTACATTGGAGCTGTGGTGTATATTTATGTAGTCAGAATGCAAGAAATGAAAGATAAACATAACGTAATTCACAGTGACAGACTCAGGAATGAGAAAGCCAAACAGCCACAATTACAGGTATCTTAAATGGGAATTCCTCACAATGCAATCTTTTTGTATTCATTCTTTTTTTTTTTTGTCATTTTGTCATTTTTTGTCATCATGAACAACTATGGTTTTGATCCCACCTTTTTTATTGTTGCTACAGGGCACCGCCATGTCTCTGTTTCAATTTCTGATTATATCAGGAGGAAAATGTTGGAATGCTGGACAGCCCATCCCCAGTGTCATTCCTTATGCACCGCCTTAGGGCTCCAGTTCAAGGATTACTGATATGCCGAAGCACCATTGTACCCAGTGTATTGATATTGCAGTACAATATCAAATATCATATCAGCAATAAACTAAATAACACTGGCAGTCAACTATTCATGCAATGCAATGCTGTACCATAGAGTCTCTGAGGAGAGTTTCTGTTGTGTCTGTTCCCCCACCCTCTTCTTTCTTCAATCTCTAGTGTATGTTTTCCCTCATCACCTCTGTACAGTTTCTATCTTTGCAGAAATAATTGACAGGCGTGTCCAAAAATAGCCCCAGGGGTTGGAGAAGTAGGATTCAGACAGCACTGTTGTTGTGTAGGCAATAAGGAACCTAAGGTAATGACTGGATAATGATACCGTTCCTATATAGCTGAAATCTTCTCATGCCTATGAAATTAGTCCTATCGAGTGCCTATGCTGGCCCATTAACAATTAGAAAAATGTATTATCTGCTAAGACCCCAAAAGGCCCTAAAGGCCATACGCTTACTAAGAACATGTGGTGCAAAATGATAATACCTT